CAGAATTCTAATGTGATTTTAGTTGTCGCATGATGATTGTTTTTGATATATCAATCTTTTGCGAATTCCCCAGTGGAATCTGGAATGCACATTTTTGTTCAAATCTTCGAAACCATAATTCCGATCGGTAAAAAAAAACAATAGGAATCTATGGGGATCTGAAACACATCTTCTGGAACTTGTATATACCATTCGTCTCTCCGACGAATTCGTCTTGGAACGAAGTTGCGTTTTTAAGTGATATCATAGCTTTTCGGTACACCTTGGCAAAAAGGTTGGTATCAGCTAATTGTGTGATATTTAGCCAAGCTGCTTGAGATGTCTTATTTCAAAACTGTATTTGTAAAATTGTTACAACAGTATTAGTTTTTAGCGCCAATTAATCGTACTTGGCTTCGTTGTACAGTACTCTCCATTTCTCGATGATCTTTATTTCGATATTCCTTCCTATCTAAATCGTTTCAGCACCCTGATCCTGATTTATCAACACTTTCTGAGCACGAAGTGTTTAGAATCGTATTAATAAGCTTATAGATTTCTCTTTTGATTGTCGATTTCTCCATATTTAGGTGGTGGAAAGATGAATCTCTCACTACGATGTGCTCGTTCACCCGCTGCTCGCGTTCAAAAGGACGAGTACTAAGTAACTAGCTGATTTGCACAACACATGGCATATAAGATCGACTCAAATTAAAGTTTTAATGTCTCAAACTCTAGAAAACGTAGTTTACTTGTAGACTGAGTAAAATTTTCCGAGCTTCATAAATCTTTTCGAATATGACAAAAAACGACGAAAAATTTACTCATTCTAGAAGGAAACACTCAAAGAATAAATCACATCCAATGAAAAATATTCATTAGAATTTCACATAACATTCATGTGATATCATAAGGGCCTGTTCATAAACTGCGTAGACAGTTTTTTTCGATTCTTGACCCCCCCTCCCCCTGCGTAGACAATTGCCCATACAAAAAATTTAAAATTTGTATGGACCGTGGATAATTGTCAACCCCCCCCCCCCCCCTAAACTGTCTACGTAGTTTATGGACAGCCCCTAATTGGGTTCTTTAGGGTTATTGAGGTAATTGAATATTTTGCAAAATTTCATCAATTTTTGAGCACTGGAACTTTTTTTAATTAGTGTGATTACATAAGCAAAAATCAACATCTTAGCGCCCCTCGATGGTACTTCGTATGGGAACGAGCTGTCAGTTTGTTAGTTTAGTGTCAAACAGTGAAGTGATTATTTTGCTATTAATCTTGATTTAAAAATTGAGATGGAAGTAAATGGGATCGAAAAAATATCGTTGTGCACAGAAAACGACGCCCTTTCAGATGATGTGTGAAAACCGACATATTTTTCAAAATTAAAGAACCCAATTGGGAATTGCACCACAAAATCACATGAACCTTATATGTCAAATGAAATTTAAGTGATTTATCATATTGAACTCATGTGATCACATGAATTTTATGTGAAATTTATATAGATATCATTGGTTTTGTTAATGGAAAAATAATATGTGCATTCCATGTGCAACACATCTAAATCTCAATTCTAGATGCTCAGCAAATCTCACTCTAGCGAATCAAACTTCGAAAAATATTCTTTCATTTCTCTCATCTACTTGCATCGCGCATCATCTTTTGGAGGAAATCTTCATAATCGACATCAATCTTCTTTCTATCTACTCAGCGTGCGGGCAGCTAACCACAGCAAAACACAATTTTTCCTGCATCGTAGATAGATAGAGTCGCTCCCCGCGATTCCCAATGGAAACTACATGAACACTGTTTTCCGTGTACTAAATTCATATGTACATCGATATGTTTCACATATTAGAAAACAAATTCCTGTAAAAGCTCAGAAAGTTTTACTCAGTTTGTGAGTTAACTACGTTTTCAAGAATATGAGTGAACTAATCTCAATTTAGAGTCAACCTCATTTGTCGTGTAATCGTAATTTTTCTTTTTATTAATTGCTGTTAACGATTCCCAACTCCAATTGATGAATTCACGCGAAACTGCACCAGTGCATGCGACACCTAGGTTTGAAATCCAAAACCACAAAAGTGATGATGTACTAAAAAATATTCCATACGATTTGTCAGGTAGCAAAACGTCATTTTCATTTTCTCATCATTTCCATCTGCTGGTCGACCGTAACGTAGATTCATCAATTAGGTTCAATTCGTTAAAAGCAGAAGTTTTTTGCTCGAACATGACTTTTAAGACATTTCAAATTTCGCATCTATTTCACAACCACTCCGACACACGCAAAACTTCTGCTAATTTTATGAAGCCCAATTACATAAATTTCTGAAATTCACAGACATTTTACGCAGACTTCCGAAAAAAAATATCTGGCATCTCTGCTCAGCGCCTAGGAGAATCAGCGGTGCCAGATATTTTTTTTTTTTCCTCTGTTCGGGACATAACACCACTGCGACCAGTAATTTGATCTATTGTAGTATATCCCGTGTCCTTAGTTTAGTGCCATTACTATTGAGAAATGATGAAGTATTCGGTTTTGATACAGTTGTCATTCTTGCCTTCATCGCAAGGAATCGATTCTAACTGAAAGGTTCCGCTATTTATACCCTTCGGAGTTGGAACACCCTCCAAAGGCGCGCCCCTTTGTCAGTCAAAATTGGATTCCTTAACAACAAAAACAAGCTATGACACCGATAATGACCATGCATCAGAACCCTAGTCTTAACCACTTCAAACTAGGGAACAACGATTAGAAGATTAGGAATCACATAGATGAAGACTAACTAACTCATTTTTCCCTTGTTTAAAGATCATCCTCGGTCCAGGCAACCCGAGGACTTATCACTATCAACAAGGCATAAAAAGTAACAAGGACTAAGATGTGTTCCTTCGATTACTGAAAAATCCTGTTCCCCTAGTTTGAAGAAGTTAGGACTAGGAATCGGTGGTAGATCTTACATCCCGTAACGTACCACGAAAAGGTGATCTACCCACGTTACGGGGGTGCCAGATATACAGATATGTCTGTATTTATACAGATATTTGAAGTTTCGTACAGACATTATACAGACTACAGACATTATACAGATATTTGAAACTCAATTCAGATTTTGTACAGATTTTTACCAATTCGCTCCTGAAATTAAACATAAAATAAACAAAATTATTTTCGAAATTTGAACAGCTTCAAGCAATTATGGACTTGAAACCACACACTTGTTGTCATTAGAGCAGGTTGTGAAGCGGATGCTAGAAAGACTTCCAGCTCTCAGAGTATACTTAAATTATATTTGTTCTACCAAAAGTTAACAAACTAAACCACTTGTTTCAATCGGAAGCGCCTTAAATATTCCGACTCAATTCTGAGCTAGTTCGTTTGCTCAAGCAAATCCTCGATAATTTCATGAGACCAGACTACATTGCGAAGTTTGAAGACCTGGGTTCGTTAAGGGGGATTTCCGGTTCAATTGACCTAAACTTTGGATTTTTTTTTCCAGGGTACTGGTAAGAGTTAGAGACCTGAGTTTTTTGTCAAATCTTTATTCATTCTTGCTCTACAACTGGGAATTTTTTCAAGTCCAAAAATCCAAAATGGCGTCCAATATGGCGGCTGCCCGGCGGGTACTTCCCAAAACTGCGAGCAGCCTAGAGGTCGCAAATCGTCACCTAGAAAGAAAATCGGCTCAGTTTCTTGAAGAGTATAGTTCAGAGAATGGAATGAACTAGAATCTTTGAAAAATCTCAAAATTTGACAAAATGGCGGGCATTTGAAAAAGAGTCATTTACCTAGTTACCGCAATTTTGTCAAATTTTGAGATTTTTCAAAGATTCTAGTTCATTCCATTCTCTGAACTATACTCTTCAAGAAACTGAGCCGATTTTTAAGTTTATTTGCTTAGTATAGTGTGTGGCGAGCAATTTTATACCTAAAATACATGTGGGAAATACGAAATCTGCAATGCGGTGATTTTTTCTAGAATACAGACAAATACAGACATATTTTTTGACACTCATACAGACTTTTGAAAAAATCATCTGGCATCCCTGAGGAGAATATTTTCCTAAAATTTACCGCGATTTGTTGGTCGATGAACTCAAACATGAGTGGAACATCTGTTTCTCTATGTTATTAACGTGAATCGTTGCAGATGTTGGAGTTCAAACGAAACTTTCAATATCTCTCCTTACTCCCAACTGCACAGAATCTAAATACGTACGAAAGTACGTCTTAAAATTGAGTCAAAACGTTGGAGAAAAGAAATAACAGAAAACAACTGCATAATGAGAACTGTGTTATGCCGTTCACTATGAAAACAAGCAATTATACGTGACTCCAAAGGCATAACATTTCTACATACGCCCCAAACGTCGACGAAAGTATGAGCCCACCACTTCAGGTCAGGCATCTGAGAATACAGCAGCAACAACAATACAAAGTGTTCGGGATTTATGTTTCATCGACTGCTCCGCGGATTGTTTACCAAGCAAATGAAGCTAGTACCATCTCACTAGTTCAAGGAATCGTTAAAGGGGTGAATCCATTTTCCCCTCACAATTTGGGTGCACTTGTGCAATTAATCAATTATTCAATCCATCCGCAGAAGATCAAACGGACGATATGCAGGAGGCGTTCGCTCGAGCCTTTCTTGAAAAAAAAAGTGTTCACATATTCCACTTTTTGATGATTAACTTTTAAGGTTAGGTGCATAATCAAAGCTGACTCGTGGTGAAAGGGGTTAGTAATTAGTATGCGTTAGCATGCCCGTGGAAGTCCTGATTGCACGAATGTGAACACTTCTGTGTTTGATAAAAAAAATATATAATTCAAGAGCTACTTATTTGAAGGAACATTTGACTTGGAAATAGACACAAAATTTTAAGGCACCAACACCAAGATCCGCCATACATGGCCACGAGTCAAAACACCGTATCTACACAAACCGACAGTTCAAGTGGTGATTATGAACTTTCGAAACTCATTTTGCCACCCTAATCCTCATTCCAGGTCATCCACTGCTCCGGGTACCTGAAGGCCCGCATCTACCCCGGTGATTCGACGTACGGCGATGGGCACAGTTGCATCCAAAATCTGGGCCTGGTGGCGGTCGGCCACTCGCTGCCCCCGTCCGCCATAACCGAAATCAAGCTCCATCAGAATATGTTTATGTTTCGAGCCAGCATGGACCTGAAACTGATCTTCCTCGACGCCAAGTAAGTATTGAGCGTTTGTTTATTTGCATCTCATCGCCGCCGCCTCGCAGGGGATTCAAGCTCAATTTTCGTGGTACTCGAAGTCGGAGGAAAAACACCAGATGAAATAGTAATTTGATAGCAAAACCATTATGAAGCTTGCTTCTTGGTGTGAAAGCGTGTTCAGAGCCAGAGTGCAAATAGAATCTGCTTCGGCGGTGGCGGTGGCGGCGACGGCGACGGTGGTAGCAAGTGTACATACGATGTACACAGACGTCCGGCGTCGTTGTTTGCCGAATCAAATCCGCGGGACGTGTCAAATCTTGTTTGTTTGAAATGCTACCTTTCCGTTCAGTTCCGACGCCGGATTCCGTTATATTTGCGCTTCCCGTTTACTACAAAGTACCTTTGTTCCCCTTCTCTCGCTCTCTGTTCGCAGAGTTTCCCAGCTGACTGGATACGAGCCACAGGATCTGATTGAGAAAACACTGTACCAGTATATCCATGCGACCGACATCCTGCACATGCGATATTCCCACCAAATACGTAAGTAGCTTCTTCTGTTTGCCATAAACAAGCGCACGAGAGAGCAAGCTAATGAGCGATGAAATAGGGGGCGGATCGAATTACATTTGAGTATTCTCCTTTCTCTCTGTTCCATATACTACGCATTTTTCGACGAACGATGAAGTGATGTACAAGGGACAAGTGACGACAAAGTACTATCGATTTCTGACGAAGGGCGGCGGATGGACCTGGGTGCAGTCGTACGCCACCGTGGTGCACAATACGCGGTCTTCCCGGCCGCACTGCATCGTCAGCGTGAACTACGTGCTGAGGTAAGTTTGAACTTTACAGTAAAATATATTTTGTAATATCGCATCGAAAACTATACGCCCATCAACAATGTTGAGAAAGTCATGCAATTCTGCATCGAAAATGGACCTGAATCCGGGCTGCCTAAGCCCGGTTTTGATGAGTCAATTTAGCGTTCAACTCACTTGAACTGCGAAATAATAGTCCAGAAGCTGGTCGATGTTGGACTTGCTCTGTTCAATATTGTCGGAGATGAACCAGCCTCGGACCGAAAGTTTCCTTAACAAAGACAACTAAGGATGATACAAATTTGTTTCCATTTCATTTTGGCTAATTATGGACAATATTTCAACAAGAAGTATGTACATTCAAAATTTGTCACGTGAAGGATTGTAAATCGAATATCCTTCAACTGGAATTCCACTAACCCAACAAACAATTTTAGCTGCAGATTAGCTTATACAGCCAAAATTTGCCTTATGCAGCTAATTTTTGCCTGTATAAGCTAAGCTGCAGCTAAAATTGTTTGTTGGGAAGTGAAACAAATTTTAAGAGGCTCTTACATGTCAATGTTTTGCAATGTTAAAATGTCTCTAAAAACTTGCAATTGATGCACTTAAAATGTGTTTAACAACTAGTTTTATTTAAGAAATGCATAGCAAATGTCGTAAATTGTAATATTTTTCATTAACCGAACGATAAATATTTATGGTTTATTCGGCCTTTTGTGGCAGATTTATACATTTTCGGATTATTGTGTTTCGGTCTTATTCGATTTTTGGCAGCTGGGTGGCATCCCTATCTTGTTTGCCTTGCCTTGAAAAGAGCTAACATCGCTGCGGGCCCGCGAGTCGTGGGCCCCACTGACAGCTCATAATTTGTAAACAAATAGAAGATTCATGCCAGAATTTCAAAAAAGGCGTGACTGATATTTTATATATTCTTAATATTTTTGCTTACATTTTGTGAAAAATAAACTTAGAACTCATGAAATATTATTTTCTGATTTTCTACCACGAAGTCAACCATTTATATGGCATGAAAGGGAAAATAATTTCATTTGATAAAAATAAGACAATGCAGTCACGCCATTTTTGCAGTTCACACTTGAATTGTGACGTTTCAGGTGTTGGTTTCAATAACATGGCGGCATATCACCCAGCTGATTTTTGGCCATTTGTAGGTCGAATTTTCAACCATTTTCGGCCTTTTTTCGTTCGGCCTTTTGTAATTCGGCCGTTTGTTCCTATCTCTTATAGAGTTATCTACCACCGTTAGTATTAGTGATCAGTTTCACTAATACATGCGTTTTACTGGCTGAAAAAAAAAAAAAAAACAAACCGCTGTCAAGTCGAACACTTTGACAGCTGATTTCGTGGTTGAAAATAATAAACAAATCGATTTTACACGTATACACTAGCAAGGTTGTGTTAGTGAGATCTTGCGTCGAGAAGTCAAATGACAATAATCGTCAATTGTCAATAATTCCTCTTCGTCAACATATTGATACGTGTGGGGTTCGCTTAAGGTGTTCTGCACTGTAGTTTAAGAAACGCCCATTAGGGCGGAAAAATCTGGATTATTACCCCCGATCCCCCCATTCGCATACCAGTGATCTTGTCATATTTACCTAGGGGATGAGTACTTAAGGGGTTAAGGCCGGCGCACAATAGATACGTTTTCGGGTTTTTTGACAGTTAGCCCATACATTATCTGTCAAAAAACCCGAAAACGTATCTATTCTGCGCCGGCCTTTAGATTTTGATACGTTTTTAGAGGGAATGGCACTGATGAAGACTGCACATTGTAGTCGAAAAACATATCTGTCATGGATACCAAAATTAATTAAGTGGAATTAAATGGAAGATAACCTTTTTTCTAGCGGCGTCGGTGGTGTAGTGGTAAGCGTGATTACCTCTCACCCCAGTAGTCCTGGGTTCAATTCCAGTCGGCGCCGCCGGGATGTTCTGAGGCATAACATCTCTGATCACGCCTTCCTTCGGGAGAGAAGTAAAGCCGTTGGTCCCCGGCTCATGAGTTGATGGGTCGATAGGTAGGGTCCAGGTGTGGGAGCTGCCTCCCTGGCGTCGGTAGCATTGGTGCTCAGCACGGAAAACAAGATCGACGGAAAACAAATAAAGGAAAAAAAACCTTTTTGCTATTTGAAATCCTTGATATTTTCTTTCATTTCTCGGAACTTCTTCCTACAATTTTGTGAACCCTCTTGAAATTCTCTAATTTTTCCTGAAGTTCTCATTACTCTTCTAATGATGTTCCTGGATTGCCCTGAAATTAAATAATACGGTTCTAAAGATCTCTAAACTTCCTGACGTTTTCTGAATCTCCGTGAATTTCGCACAACTTCAGTGAAGTTTTCGATTTTTTTGTCTTAGGTTCTCTAAACTTACCTGACGTTCTCAAAATTTACCTGGAGTCCTCGGAACTTCCCTAAAATTCCCGCTATTTTCCTGATATTTATGGTCTAAGTTCTCAGAACTACTTGAAGCTACGTAACTTCCTTTAAGATCTTTTTATTATCTTGGTACCTTCTGTTAAGTGCCTGCAATTTTCCTGAAGTTAATGGGACTGCCCTGAAGTTCTTTGATCTTCATTGAATTTCTATAAATGTTATTGAAATCTATCCAACTGCCCTGAAGCTTTCGAAATTTATCTGAATGATATTAAAACTTGCTCCTAGTTCTGGACGTTTTTGTACTTTTCGCAACTGCCCCCAAAATTCTTAGAAATTCAAAGAAAAACTCATTCTTAAAGGTTTTTAAAACATTCCTGAAGTTCTCGGAAATCTCTATTTTCCTGACGTTCATGGGACTCCCAACTTCTTTGAAGTTATCTGGACTTTGTTCTGGGAAAATGTGTTTAAATGCCTGCATTTTTTGACGAAGGATTACGTCTTTCGGCAACATATTGGCGGTGCAGTTTCAAAAAACCAAAATCGAAAACTGGTTAGGGTAAACGCTCCTATAGTTGCGGTACGTTAGAAGCGTTAGGTTCCTATAGTTGTGTATGGAGACTCCGTACACAACTATAGGAACCTAACGCTTCTAACGTACCGCAACTATAGGAGCGTTTCCCCTAGTTGGGTTTTAATTCTAAACAAACCAATCGATTGGAAATTTTCTACGAATCTGCTAAAATGTAATATAGTAAAAATAGGTTACTATTGAAAATTACACAAATGTCCAACTGTTGCAATGGTGATTAAAATTATCACCGATTGTCTGCAAAAAGTGCTTTCCCTAACATAGGTTTCAAAATCGAATTCCATCCGGTCTCACCGAACGGTGCTTATTCAATCACCATGTGTTGTGGTGTCTGGTGCGTTGAACATTGTTCTCTAGTACACAACGAAAGGCTGCCCCCAAAGCACCGAGCTGCAGCCCCCATGGGCGTCCATTAGACTGATGCAAATTTTGACTTTTGCGCTCCACAGTGCTTAAATGGTTTCAAATCGGGTCCTGATTAGCCTCCCAAAGTTACAACTCATTTGGTTAGAAACAGACTTCGCACAAGCCATTTGAAGTTTGCATGTAAATTACTATGGGAAATCTCAACTTTTTGTTCATTGCCTGCTAGCCTTTTTCCATATTGTGCTGCGAAACAGTTCGATAGCCATTCTTATAGAAAATTTTCTCAGCTACAACTTTGGTGAAGATCGTTTCTATGTAAAACGAGACAGGAAAAAGTTATTAATTATTTAAGAGATTGGTAAACTTATGACATGATCAAGCAGCTGCTATGTAGGTAACACTGTATTTTGCAGTGTGACATAGTAGCCATGATTTTTGTTTCCTATTCAACGCCCCAGAAACACCAATGTTGCCTGCTGAGCAGTTGATTGAGCATGATCATAAGACATCAGCGCATTGAACCATTGATAACTTTCGATTCTTGCATTTAATCAAAAAGTGGCCTTCAGCAAAGTTGTAGCTGGGAAAATTTCCTACAAGTGCAGCTGAAAGCTTTTGAAGCAGACTGATATGGTGAATTATTAGATAGACATGAACAAAAATCTTGGTTTTACCATAGTAATTCCCATACAAACTTCAAATGGTTTGTGCCATCGCAGATTCTCACCAAAAGGGTTCAAATTTTGAGAGGTTAGTCAGGATCCGATTTGGAATCGTTTAAGTATTGTGGAGTGAAAATTTCAAATTTTGCATCACTCTAGCGTCCATTCACCGAATAAGGAGGAAGAAGCCGCGCCGCTACTGATCGGATTCAGTAGCTCTTCGTGAGTCGCTGTGGGCCATCTATGCCAAGCGCATCACTCTCAATCCAAACAACATACAGCTCGCCAGTCTCTTCTGTGTTGAACACCCTAATAGCTCAGCATTACTCAACCATCACGACAGAACGGTCCTTTTCAGGACCATAATAAATTTGTTAAAGAGTATTTTCTGGACATTTGTCAAGGTCATAAATTATATTTCAGTTCCCATAAGTTTAAATCTAACATACCATGTATTTTTTAAAGCAATATTCGGGGTGAATTTCAAAAATCAAAGTCGGTCGTGGCATGAAAGTGGTCAGATTTTGATCCAGATATGATGAATTTTAATTCGTAATACGCCAAGCGATAGGAAATTTTTCTACAAATCTGTTAAAACTGAGACTTTTTCAATTTTCAAAAGATTGCCTGCGAAAAGCGCTTTCCCTAACACAGATTTCAAAATCGAATTCCATCCGGTCTCTGAAATCAATCTCTCAAGTCATAGCTTCTACGAATATTCATTAATTTCTCAGTTTAAAAATCTGAAAGAGTGCACATCTTTCGCCACCCGTAATTTTTAAATGTAGAAAGGAAGACATTTTGTCGATCCCCCCTAATGGTTTATGTCTTGTCAGCTAGGGCCATGGCCTTCCCTAGCCCAACATCCTAGTTACGCCTATGATTATGCCCAATCCATTTTACAATGGCCTAAAGTGCAATATGCTGATATTCTTCGCTCTTCATTTCAGTGACCAGGAAGCACGTGACCTGCTTCTGAACGAAATCCAAGGACCAATGATTCCCAAGCCGGAGATTAAGACCCCGTTGGTTACCCCAGCAAGCGTATCAACGCCGATGGCACCGATCTCCCCTCCACAGCACGTCCCAATTCAAATGCACCAACCCACACAGCAACAACAGCAGCAGCAGCAGCCACAACATCAAACGCCCATTATGCAACCCCACAATCCACTATTGGTGAAGGAAATGACCAACTATCTTCAACTGCATCAATTCGATGACGATAACAGCCTGCACCAAATGGTACAGACCAACGCTCTACATCCGAACCAGCATGGCAACCATCAGAGTCAGAGTCAAGAATTTGAGCATCAATATAACAGCCAGGGCAGTTTCATGATGGACTCGAATCAATCCATGTCGCAGGGAACGCCCAGCGAGTTTCTCGACTCGTACTACTGTGACCCGTTCTACCCGGCATACGACCCTCAAGCGGATGGGTCGAATGTACTTCGACCATTCTCGGCCAGCTCCAACAGCTGCAGCAGTTCCGATGGGGAAGCACATCTCAATGCCACCTACATCCCCAACACGGCACTGATACAACAGCAACCGTCGTACGATGAAATCAATCAACATTTCGGACTCAACTGCTTCAATAACAATAGCAACAACAGCAGCAATGGTGACCCCTCCAATGGGCATCTAAATGGTCTAAATAGTCACAATCTACATCACCAGCACAGTGCCACCAATAATAGCAGCAGTAGCAACAGCGTTGCTGCTGCTGCCGCTGCCGCTGCTACCAATAGCAGTCACAATAACAACAACAATAACAACAATGGTCATCATGATAATGGCTTCCTGGATGAATTCAAAGTAAGCCAGCAGCAGCAGCAACATCACCATGGCAACAACGGCCATCATCCCCAGCACCACCACCACTCGCAACATCACCAACATGTCCCTCAGCAGCAGCAGCAGCAGCACCACCACCACAGTCAAAACGGGGGAGGGCCCCAGTACACCAGCGTGATTGTGGAACCGCAAAACTATCATCTGCCTGTCACGCAAAATGAATTTGTGCATTAGGTCTGGTCCTTCCGAAGGGCCGGCATGGTTTGATTGGTGGGGAATGCGATGTTTGAAATATTAACAGGAAGAAGCATAAGACTGCAGGCAGTTGACATTGTCTCTATAAACGATGTATTTAGTGTTGTAGCAATTTTGTTAGGGCACGATATTATGATATTGTAGTGTAGAAGGGCTAAGATTTTAACTGTTATCATGCTAATTTAGGTAAGGTAAGTTGCTTAAGTGTAAAGTATTTATTTAGCGTAATACCGTGTAAATATTTGCTATGAACATTTGAAAACTGTATAAAACTGCAAAGAGTGGAATATTATTGACGAAAATATACTTAAATAAATATGAATTCATTGTGGGTTTGCAATAGAAAGAATCTTCGACGTTTCCATATTGTAGTTTACATTTGAAACTGGAATACTCAAAAGTGTGGAATCGCTTATAAAACTGCGCTTTTACGATGGATCGTCTTGGTGTCTTCTACTCACTTATTCCTTCTGAACTAAGAGCAACCGTACCAGTCGTTGCCATTTGCGGCACTATTTTACTTACGCACAGCGTTTCCATTTTGGCTTGATCACTCCTCTCCACACCGGTCGTTGCTATCAGAGTCATAATTTAAGTTACCGTTTTCCACACCGGCAAAACAAACTTTTGACGTTTATTCAAAATAGCAACCGTCTGATGCGTTGCTACCGGGTTGCTAAATTTATGAACTCACTACTTCCCAAGGTGCGGATTGCTATTTCCCCCACCTGAATAGCAACCTCCGGTACGCAAGTAGCGTTATGGTAGAGGTTGGTAAATGTGCCTTATTTACTCATTGGTACGGTTGCTCTAAGGAATAAGTGGGTCGTCCCAGAAGGTAGTAAGTTGTTTTGAGATGCCAAAACATGTTTTTTAGGATAAAAAAAAGTTGAAACAAATTTATTCCATACAGTCTAAAATTATCGAATTAATTAAAAAAAAGTGCTACATGTCAACTTGTATTTTCAATTGTTGCTCCTATTCTCAATTCTCAAAATCTCAAGAATACAAATGGACGAGAATAATAAGCACCCGGAGAAGTTTAAATAAGTACTGATTTTTTTTATGGTAGATGACATGACATGACATGAGACGGATTGAAAAGATGTGGATCACCTGTGCTTGAACAAATCTTTTTATATTGCGCATTTCCACATAACATATGTGGAACTTCATGCAAAACTGCTGTTTAAAAGCACACATTGGATTATTTTACAGAAGTCAGTTCGCCTCCGCTTATCGTAAGTTGTTCATCGAACAACTACTATCGCCATGTGTTGAGCACATTACCCATAACAGTGTACTCAACAGATGCCTGTAGTGTTTTAGCGACGATGTTTTATAGTGAGAAATACTCAATGTGCTTTGTCTGTTTGTCTGGTTGTCTGTGGTTCAGTGGTACTTTTAACCTCGCTTTTAACCTGGAATTAGCAGATTTTCTCGATAATATTTCAGACTGCAGTTAGATGCAAACAACAATTCTGCAATGTCCTCGAGCAACATCCTTTCACCACAGATAACAGATGTCCAACTTCGGTCAGAAACTTGTGTAAAGATAAGTGGGAACATCGCCGTTACGTAGCGCTAGCGTCTCCTGATTTCCTCTATAAATTTTCCAATTTCGAACAATTTGGCGATAGTATCGATAAATTTTCGGTTGAAAATTACCACTCAGCGCTACCGACACTTAGTGTCTAGTGTAAGTTATGAAACGCCAGCGCAAAGATGTGTAAAAAAGAGGGTTTTTTAAAGTGGGGAAGTCAGCGTTGGTGGCGCTTAAGTCGAATAGTAATCTTTACAAAAGTTTTTACAGAAATTTAGTTCGAGCCTCAACGTCTGTTCTCTGTGGTTTTGCGTAAATTCATCACTATAAGCATCAACTTCTCCAGAGGATCATCACCGATCGTTTCAAACATGCACTCTCATTGGTGGAAAAATGGCAGCACAGCGAACAACAAAAGCAATTTGGCCCGTTCTATTGCCGAGTGAATCGTATCACATTCCATGGGGCTATGGCCCGTAGCCATAAACTTATGGCATATGGTCAGATTTCGCCCTTCAGATGCTGCCAATTCTACAACGTAAGCCATAAGAAAAAGAACTATACGGTTGTTATTTTGTCCAGCCCATCTATCTTCCTCCACGCATGCCGGTAGCCCTTTCAAATAATGCCACATGCAAGATCCGATTTCTCTCGATCCCCGTTTTGCACGCGTTTCGTCCCAAATGTAACATACCGGAATATTTGAACCTATCTGGGTCTCATATACCCTAAGGTTATGTGTATAAAGTTGTCGGCTATAAAATGCTCGACCGCATGTGAGATAAGGTGTAGCAAGTTGCTTCTGAAGGTCGAAAGAAATTGTTCGCACCGACATATCCTGATCCGCCCGCTTTCGATCAGCTTTTTTCTCGTCATAGATACGTTGAGCCACTTGCTGATGTGCCTCCTTCCGTGCGATTATCTGCTGTCGCTTTTCCTCATCTGTCTCTACCTGAAGCTCGATTTTGAAGGTATCACATGCGTTGCATGTATCAATTTTTGGCTTTCTAAATTTGAGATTTAGGGAATTGAAGGCAAGCCGATAAGTATTATAATGGACTGGAATGAGATTGTCTTCTCCACACTGGTCTTGGTAAAGCTCATACATGCACTGAATAGTCAAATCAGACGACAAGTAGAGTCGAGACGATTTCTCACGACCGTAACGACTTTCTTCAGCTGGAAAAGACTTGATATGTTTGACGATGTAGTCGGCATGCTCTGGACTAATTTTTATTCGGGAACAATTGTTCTTCCGCTTATCATCTGCAGCAATTCCTTGTCCCAAAACAAGTTTATCAGCGAGACTACGAACTTTTCTATCCTTCAGGTCAAACGTAGCCATAAACATACGTTTGCAGACTTTTACGGGACCTCCAACGCCAGGTTGTCGATAAATTCGAGACCGGGTACGTCTTGAAACAAGAACCTAAAGGAATTAATGCGAAATGATTCATAAGTATACGTAATACAAAAAATCCTGTAAAAAAATACTATGTTATTACCTTCGGACGAACCGTATTTATAACGCTCATGTGACTGGACAAGAACTGATTTTGCCCCGATTGAGTCAATTCAAGAAGCGTAGCTAGCAGTTTCTTTCGGACCGGTTCAGAAAATTTGTCACAGCATCTCATCGGACATTCACACGGTGCTTGAACTTGTCTTGCTGGAACAACGCTTCCATCCATTCGTCTGTATGAAAGCCCTTTTTGTTTGAGGATTTTGTTGCTCTTCCGTACCTTTACTTTGCTTTTTTTTTGTAGAGGTTCTTCGCCGTCTGTGTGTTCATTCGCTTGTTCTTCTCCAGCAGATGATATTCCAGTTTCGTGGTCGGATAAGCGATCATTTTTGAATGTTTCGAAATATTCAAAAATCGATAAGTCATTCAACAGACTTGCGTCACCGTCTGGAAACCATTCTGGATCATTTTGATCATCCGAAAAATCATCATCAGATGCTGGTTCAGACTGCTTCATATTATTGCCAATCAGACTCGGGTGTCCAAATTGATCAACATCATCTTTGGCTCCAAATTTATCTACTTTACAGTATCCATCATGATCATGCCGTAGAACATGATGCTTGGTAGTGTTAAGCGAATCATTTGGAGGCGATTCGTGGTTTTCAAGATTTTTTTCGGGTATGAGGTCAGGTGAAACATTCTGTGATTCAATATTATTTGCACGTAGATCAAGAATCTCTGAAGCTCGATGGTGACCGCTAGGAGCAAGCACCTCGGAAGATCGACGGTGACCAGCATAGCTGGGTTTGTCGGTTTTGGCTACCACCAAATTCAATGGCAATTCAGGATTGCAATTTTCATCTAACGAGAAGTCCAGTGCAAATGAAGTATGGTTCAAAGGAGTGGATGATGCGACGTGACGAAATGATGGTGCTTCTTTCCATTTATTGCTCTTATGCGAATCTGAATAGAAAAGGAATTAAACGGTTCATTAGTACATGAACTCAGAAAATATAATTTGTAAAACTTACCAATACTGTCTTTCAAAGAAAGCTGACGTTTTCGCAGATAAATGAAAGACGAGTGATGGGAACGTTCTTCCCAAGCGTTTGGTCGAGGATCTGGGTGCATGAGATTGGCCCAGGGTCCCATGGAACTATCGTGGAATTTCTGCGAAGATTTCAAAAAGTTCCTATTACCGTTGACTAGCTCCTCCCGTCCTGATTGAGAAGACGACGAAGCTTGGGGTCTCAAAACACGACGGCAAAAACTCTTACTGCCAGCATCCTCTCGTCCTAATTGAGACGATAAAGTTTTTTCCCGTTTATTGTCGTCATCAAATTCTAAAAGAAAGAGAAAATAAAATAATTAATTGATATATACGTAAGTTCCGGATAACTTACTATTGCTTTCCCTAACGCAAGACTGACAACTACTGTGATCACCGTTGGAAAACTGATTTGGGATATCGAGGACACGACCTTTCAAACTCCGGCATGGAGTAGAGTACTTCCGGTTTTGGTTGACTAATTCCTCTCGTTCTGATTGGAAACTCTGGGAAGAAGTGAAAAAGCTTCGATTCCCTGACCGATTCTCATCAGTTGCATCATCTCGTTCAGATTGAGCCGATAGAGTGCTTTCCCATTTACCGCTCTCAGAAATAACCTCGGAAATAACTAGAAAAAAAAAGAAAATGTGTCATGAGAATTGGGGGCATAGTTAAATATATGAAATTTTGCAAACCTACCGTTACTGTTTCTTACGGAAGGCAGACGTCTGCAGCCGTCAGCGTTTGAAGAGTAATTCGAAATATCATTCAAAGCGACACGACTCAGATTAGCCCTGGGCTCCAAAACACGACCGTGGAATCTTGAAAGAGAAGACTTCGATTCCTGTTGATTGCTTCCTCGATTCCCGTTGACGGCTTCCTCTTCCTCTTTCTCTAATTTATCTGCTGCGGCTAAAAGTAATCACTTCGATCAGACCCTTTTTAAGGTAAAAATATTGAAAGTACGTACCAAGCAGCAAGTCGAATGCGTGCATTTTATCTCGAAAGCTGATTATTTGTTCAAATAGTCGCTGAATTCCAATGAAAACGTTAAAAATATTCGAAAATATGCAGTAATCTGCAAAAGACCGAGGTACAAAGTACAAATTTGTATTGTTTTGATGGTTTTGTCAATTCAGACGTCAGATGGGTCAAACGTCTGAAGTAACAGTCAAGCACTCATAATGCGAAT